GATATTTTAAGTGATTTTTAAATATTAAAACAAATGAATATGTGTATAATTACATACGTGTATTATAAATATAATTTATTTATAAAGCAGAATTCGCCAGTACTGGCTGGTGATTTTAACCTGAAAATTAAAATAATGGGTTAAGGTAGGAAAATGATCTGTCTTGAACAGAGTTTTGTACACTAATAAAAAAAAGAAGTTAGGAACATAAGCAAGGGAGAGTAATGGAGAAAATACATTGTACTTTAATGCACATAATTGAAATGTAGTGGGATTCTTATCATAAATGTCAAAATTAATAGATGCAGTCTGTGTAGGAGAGAATAAAAGGAAAGAAGGGTAGCAGTTTGTGTCAAAAACATTTACTAAGCAATTGAGAGTCTTTTTAAAACATGCAAAAGGAGAAAATAGTTTGAATAAGCTCTGTAAGCAAAGAAAGTTAAATTCTACCCAGATATTCTTATATTGAGTTGAATTCTTGTATTGGTTTTGTGGACTATTTTTCCCAAGAGAGGTTTTTTTCTTCTTTGCCACTCCTTCTTGGAGCTCAGGAAGGGGATGGAGCGGAGCACAAGAGGCTGTTCTATCTGTTCTTTTCGCTGTTTGAGGGGAAGGAGAGGCCTAGGCATCCTGAGCCTATTTTACCATCTACACAGGATGTCTTTCCAGCATGTGCCTACCTTTGGCTATATTAATTAGGATGGAAGTGAGTTGCATCAAGCCTTTATCCCTTGTTTCTCAAATACTCAAATATATCCCTCCAGTACATTGGTCTCTTCAAATCCCCTAACTTACCTCATTGATCAGATTGTCTACCTGCTTTAGATCAGCACTCTTGTACATCTGAGATATCTTTAGCTTTTAATTGCTAATTATCTACCTATTCTGCAAATGCCCACTATTTGTATCTTCCCTTGTGAACCTCCCTGTAACCTTCCCCTTTACCACCACCCCCATAGGGACTCCCTTCTCTTTTCTCTGATTTCATAAAATTTAATGTCTGGGTTACTCATCAGTTGTTAACCTGGGTCTTAAGAAGCATTAGGCTAAGGAAGCATGTTGGGGACCAAGACCAGAAACTAAGTATCCATAAAATATGGAGTTAAGACTGAATCAGCTAATTACTGCCCCTGCCCCCGCCACTGAAAAAAAAAAAGCAGTTAAATATTAAAAAAGACTGAGCAAACAGAAATCTCAAACACCACTGCCTCCTACCCCAGCTCCCACCCCACCATACACACACACACACACACACACACAAACACACACACACACCACGTAAAAGAGGGAAAGCAAGGCAGTGAGTTCAGAGTATATGTAAAGAATCAGGTCAGCAGGATTTGAAGGAACTGTCCGCATTCCAAGGAGAGATTGTCTAGGACAACCTCTGATTTTTATATTTCTTTCTAAAGCTAATTTTTAGTGAATTTTACGTCATAATTTTTGCTGCCACAAAGCACCCTGTACCAGCAGTTTACTTGGTAGGCATTCAATAAATCTTTTCTGAATAAATGAATAAATAGACCAAGTGATTCTTTTCAAGTGTTTACAAAAGAATACTTATCATTCAGGATAACTGAATGCAAGACCAATTTAATTCTACTTGAGACTCTAAGCTTTCTGATTGGCTCATTTGGGGGGGGCACTTTTCATAGACTTATGAATGTCATAGCTTGAATAAAATCAGATTTCCTCATTCAATCTTTTCATTCTACAAATAAAGAATCTTTTAGGGCTAGTGATGAGGGATACATAAAAGTATACATAAGTCCCAACCTTAAGTACACAGTGGAAAAATCTTACAATGATAAATTAATCTACTAGGAAAATATTCTTTTTAAAAAAATATATAAATCAACAAATAGTAAGTACGTTTTTGTGGGTGTATAAAAAAGGCACTGTTCTAGGCTGGGATATGAGTAAGACATTGAAGAAAACTACGAGAAATCAACTAGATGATCTTCTAATTCCTGAACAAGAAAATGGTGGGACTTTGTTTGTTTTTGTAACATATTTTCATTGAATTTCTGTTGGATTCATACTTTTAAACAATATTAGCACCCTCAACAGGGGCAGTGAACTGAATTTTGGATGACCTAAGCATGGGGCCTTCTAATTTTATATCAGTGAAACTGGACCAAGAAAGGATGAGGAGTTTAATTCTGCCCCTGTGAATATCATTTTGTATGATCCAGATATGTGCTTCTTACATTCTTTTCTTAAACAAAGTGCACCTGGACTCCCATTTGTTTTATTTGAATATGTGTGTCTCTCCCATGCCTGCAGATCTTCTGTGTCTCCATGTACTATGATAAGAATTTCTACTCTTTGGGATTCTGTTCTTCATCACATTATTATTATTTTCAATTATGAAATATTTCAAACATACAAAATGTTTAAAAATGATACCATCATCAACTGCCAACCTAAGACTTAAAGCATTAAAAATACGTTAGAATCTTCTTATGTGTTTGCTACAAGAGGCTGATTGATAAAATAGCAGGAAAACAAGGCACTAAAAGTCAATCCACTGTAGTAAAAAAGCACCAAACATTACTGAGGCCTAGTTTGTCTTAGGTATTGAGGATGTAAAAAGAACTGGTATATGCCCTCTGACTTCTTTTAATTTATCTTGATGGGATATACCTGTAGAAGTTCTATTAAAAATTCAAGGATCTGAAATAGAGGATCTGAAACATCCTGCTTCAACAGTGATTGGTTGGTAATAGTTGTCTGTGGAGCTGTATTAAAAGGACTCCACCCAATGGCTTAGCCAGGAAGAGTACCAAGAGTGACCAGTGACGTCTGCCTTGGGCACAACAGAAAGGTGTGAAGCACTAGTACTGTGTTTGGAGAATCTGTCATTGTCTAAGAGCCTGGTAAGTGGTACAGGCAGAAATACAAAGTGACAAACTCAAATGAGTAGTCATCATAGAAGAGGTAATATTGAACTGGCCCTTGGAAAAAGAAGAAGCCCTAACATTAACTAAAGGTTGATTTTAGTGAGTAGAAAGAGGGTAAAAAGAGATGAGAAGATGGCAATATATTTGACATTTTAGGGATTTTAAGCAAATTATTAGGCTAGGGTGGGAAATACAGTATGGCGATCTGTTTACAATAGATTAAATTGCCTCTCACTTAAACTTTTGCCTAAGCCCAGAGAGTGAGAACAACATATTACATGACAGGTATTCCCATATCTCAAGTTAAAGTGAACACCACCTAAGCAAGACTTGTGAATGAGAATCTGAGAACTGATTGTGCAGGAGCATGATGATGATTATTTGGACTTCCATGTTTTCAGTGTATTTTGTAAGAAGTGATTGATTAGTTTTAGGATGTATTCATGAGATGAGACTGATAGTTTGCTAATTAATCTTAGCCTATCAGAAATACAAATTAGATGTGCAAATTGGAGATCTTATATAAAGATGGATTCTGATGTCAAAAGTTTTAGAAAGTAACGGGTTAACATTTTTGGAGACTTTGGTGTACTGACTTTCACTGTGACTTTTCAAGTAGAAGATAAGTGTACAGTGTTTTCCATATGTTCTCAGAACCTTGTTTCTAAGGAGCATCTTGTGGGTTGGATATTCTGTGGAATATATTTTGGTAATTTTGCTCTGGGCTAAGGGAAACCAGTGACTGAAGGAGGGTTACATGGTATAAAATATTTTAGGAGAGTTATTTTGTCAGGACTTTGATTTGATGAGAAAGAGGCTGGAAGCCTAGAGAACAGATGGGAGCCCATTGATATCGTCACTTGGACATTTGGGGATGAGGGTCCAGATGAAGGATGACAGTGGGAATCAAAATGAATATGTAGATGCAAGAGAGCATGTGAAGGACAAAAATCATCAGATGCTTCATTTTTAAAACACAGGTGACCCAGATTATGCCATGGAAAGTTTAAATGAAAAACTCAGTATAGGTGCCATTTAATGAACACTTGTTATAGGATTGATTCTACCTACCTACCTACCTATCTATCTATCTACCTATCTGTCTGTCTGTCTGTCTATCTATCTATCTATCTATCTATCTATCTATCTATCTTTATATTCCCCAGGCTAAGAGAAATGAACTTATCTATGAAAGATCACATGGCTGAAATTGAAATAATCACCAAGTGGTGTTATAATTAAGATTTTCTGGGCTACAGACATGATTTAAAAGAATATGAGCAATTAGAAATGGTTACTTTGAGATACACACGTACCATCAAAGTCTTTCAGAATAAGTAATTTAAACATGACACTCGAGCATTAAGAAGGAATTTTGCTGGGAAAAATATGTGATAGGTAATATGACATTATATTGATATTTATTCAGTTATAATATGATATAAATTGATACAATATAAATTACAGGCTACAAGTACAACTAAAAGCTCTTTAACCTCCAAAGTTTTACTTCTAAAGTTGTGGCTACAGATATTAGACAAATTTTTGAAAACAAAGTGATAGGGCAAATGAAGAATATAAAATTTACAGTCCTAGATTCATCTTAGTAGAATAGCAACAAAAGCAAATGATGATGATAGGAGTCTCAATGCAGTAGATTTTTTTATGTTAATCAAACATATAATATCTTATTGATGTATGCTATGCCTTGTATACATTCCTTTGTCTACATTATTTCCTGTTCCTCCCAGCATCTTGTGAAGTTGGTAATATTATATCTATTTTATCCATGAAGAAACTAACACTCAAAAATTAGCTCATTAAAGATTTACTTTCAGTCATCTGCAGAGCTGAAAGATAAGCTGGGTGTCTGTGACTTTTACGTTGCTTTACTTCACCTAGACTTTAAAGAAACATTAGCATTCCTCTGTATTGTTTTCTGATTACTTAAAAATTGTTTTTCAGTGTCATATAAACATATCCCTTCTTGTTTATTCAGACTGTTTACAATTCCACTTCCTTTGTGAAGCATTTTGTAAATAAAAGGGAGGTAAAAGATTGTTCTTCCTTATTAAACAGTGATTATTTACCTTCCAGGTATAAAGCATTGTTGGAGGAAGTCATTGAGAAAACTGCGAGGTGACCTGCAAACTGGACCTGGGGACTAGAAGGTGCCTCATCCCCTCTCCTGTCATTGCCCCCACATTCTACATTCTACCACCATTGCCATGTGGAGCTGTTCCAAGGATGTAGCCTTGAGAGAGTAAGATGTTGTTGAGATCTCTATGTGGTATATATGTCTGAGCCCAGTTAAGGCCTCTCTATAAACTTTTAAGATTCTGGCTGGTGGATATCGAGATCTGTTCATCTAGCAACTGCCCAAGACAAGCCTCTTAAGTAAGTTCCCTTGCTTATTAAGTCTGTAACATACCAATTTGTAATGATCCACCTCTTTCTTCAGTCTCTTCTTGTCTTCCGTGTATGAGGGCAAGTCTGCAAACCAATACTTGGCAAGCTAGCCAGGACACTGAAGAAATGGGCCCTGAGAAAGAGACATCAGGGAGAAATCCTGAGTTGGACATTGGCCTCTCTGTGGGGTGAGTTGGTCCATGTGTTAGATGCCTTTGGACCACTGCATGAGTATCGGGACATCCTGAAAATATCAGCTGGTCTAATGTGGTTGTTTGAGAAATTGCACAGAACACATGGTGGCAAAGAAGAGAAATGAATGGCTGCTGTAGAGGGCTGGCCTCTATAGTGGGCAGCTCATCTAGTTACCAATGCCCAACTAGAGGCTAAAGCTTGAGTTAGAGAGTTGGAAGAAGAGCTGAGGTTAGAGAAAGATGTGTGTATCCACTGCCCCGCTAGCTTCGGGCTGGCAGACAAGGTGGGAAGCAGGATAATGACTTGGAGACCTTAATGTGCCCTTTTGTAAAGCTAGGAGGGCACAAGCTGGTGGGGGCAGATTAAGGTCTGAGAGCTTTTGATGAAGCCTGAATGGTAAGAGGTGGAATTCCTGGGGAGCTGAGGAGAATGAAGAGGAGGATGCTGTGAGGATTGACAATAAAATGGGTGAAATATCTCATGCTGTCTGACCCCTAAAACAAAGAAAAGCAGAAGCATAGTGACAACAACCCTAGCCCTGGGCACAGCCTCCAACTCAGGAAACATTTCTGATGAGAGAATATACTCCTGCTGAGCTTATTACAAGAGCTACCAAGTTCCAGCCAAAGACCAGGGAAAAAATCCAGACATGGTTGTTATATCCAAGGAATATGAGAGGGCAGTGAGATTTCTCTGACCAGGCAGAAGACAGGGAAAATGAGCAAAGTCACCACACACCTTGCCTTCAGGCAGCACCTGCATGGTATATAATGGGTTCAGAGAACTTACTCCCTTATATGTTGGACTATCCTAGTATGCTGGGAGTCTTGGCCTCAATAAGGATTTTCCTGGGTACATGGAACCTTGGAAATCTATAAAGTGGTGCAACAAATTCTTAGAGAGTTGGGAATGAGACAGGCAGTCTACTCCCCTGCCTTTGAAAGCCCTAAGTGGGCCACATTCACTGCAGGAATGAAAGGCAACATACTCCAGTTTGGGACGCACCCCCAGCACCTGGCTTGGGAAGCTGATACTCATGCCGACTCCAGTTGTGGGACAAGACATTTATAATTTTTTATAATTGTTATATATTGCTCATTTGGGGGAAACTGACAAGTCTCAGGAACAGGTACCAGGCCATGGGGAAGACTGAGATGGAGAGGAAGATCAGAAAGCCAAAAGGCTGTCCCAGTTGACTGTAAAGGGTCTAGTAATAGTAGCCTAAAGGCAAATGTGGTTT